AGTCTACATACAATGTTTCCTACAGTCCACATACATTGTGTAATGTTTCCTACAGTCTACATACAATGTTTCCTACAGTCTTCATACATTGTGTAATGTTTCCTACAGTTTTCATACATTGTGTAATCTTTCCTACAGTCTACATACAATGTTTCCTACAGTCCACATACATTGTGTAATGTTTCCTACAGTCTACATACAATGTTTCCTACAGTCCACATACATTGTGTAATGTTTCCTACAGTCTTCATACATTCTGTAATGTTTCCTGCAGTCTACACATATTTCTATTGAAAGCAACATTCGACAGGTTAGTACAGTTTTAGTTCATTGCGATGTATCACTCACTACCAAACCCTCCTTTCTTTTTGTAACCTTCTAGGCCCTCCAAGGCGTGGCAACTTTTAATATTTCCTGTCCTAAAGTGTAGGGTAGAGGAGGAGCTTTTGCAACATCTCCCTGGGAACGACTACATGGTTGGTCAGTCGACGGTGTGACAGTTCTATATATGTAGATCTATGTTAGCAGTGTATGCTACGCTGTAAATACTGTGTGTGTCCTGTGTACTGTACTGAATAGTCCTGCTGAGCCTATAGCTCACGTTGTTTAATAGGTGTCGACCAACTTCCCGAGAGCAGTGACCCATGAAAAGCCGTTAAGCGTAGATAACCAAAAGGATGCTACCGCGTTAGTCACGCCAGAAGCGCACGAACGCTGGCTTCTGTAGATGCGTAGATCCCACTTCCTCTGTACTCGCTCTTGGTTATTATACCTGTAACTCATCGCATTTAAGACCAGTGAATTGTGAACAAACATCGCTGTAAAAAGCACGCCGTTTAAAGTGGTCATCTCAACAAATATATATTGGGAAAATCTAATCCGCCATCCTATTGTACGTATTTTGTGTTATGTGGTAACTTCTGGAAAATCCCGAGCGCGAATCTGTATACGATCTTCATCAAGATATCTTTTTTTGCTGTTAGCTGACAACGCAGTCGTACATATTATTTTCATTCATCGGAACTAACATACTAGCGTGTGTGTGTGCTGATTTGTTTGGTTTCACATCCGTTTCAATGCCATCAGCTCAATGATCTTTGTAAAGGACCGTGAAGAAAAGGCACTTCCCGAGCGCTTCAATCATGGGTCTTGGAAGCGTTCCCGCGGTCACAGGATTTGCTTTATTTGATCTGCTACTGCGCCATTTAGAAAAATTCGAATTGGCTATTTGTGCATAAACATGTCAATGTACTCAAGTACCCACGAGGCGGGTTGTGTTTTGCCTCTCAGTTACTGATACCTAGTTGCGAAGGGACTATGTTCTCAACATGTTCTTAAAAATATTTTTACTTTTTATTTCTTTTCTACACGTAAATGGATTTATTTTGTAGTAACATATTAAAGTAAATAATATCCATAAATGCTTAGTTCGAAATAGCTGAAATATTTAATCATTTGTCAAAAACTGTACTTTTTGTTTTTGGACGAAGATGTAAAAAATTTCTGAGAAGTGTCTAGCACGTAAATTCTAATGTTTGATAAACATTTAACAAGTAAAAACGAATGTCTGAGAAATATCTAACAGATCTAGTATATCAATAGAATTTCTGATAAATATCCAAGAGATAAAGACAAATTGCTGATAAACGTGAAGCAGATAAAGATGAATCTTTGATAAATATATAGTTTGTAACACACTCACGTTAATAATTTTTTTGCTGCAAAACTATCTCTATTGCAATGACAAATACGTACACGCTGCGTGTCTCACCAGGTAACTATAGGACGGGAGTCGTAGGAGTTGAAGTGTGATAATTAGGATGTAAAACTACCCTAGCAGTGATGCTTTTCCTTAAACTTCATTTCTTCAGAAAAACCTGTACCGTAAAGTTTTATCATGTACTGGAGAGCTTATTGACAATTTTATAGAAGACTAATAAGTATGTTATAGTCCTCGTTATTTTAAAATCAAATAAAACTTGTGTAAAACCAAGTTAAGAATACAGATGGCGGCAGGAAAAACGAGTAATATTAATGTCAATTCTGCGCTAATGTGTAGACAGTGGTGGAAAGTGTGTTGGGTGTATAGTGATCAATACAAACTATACAGAGAATTGTATGGACGGAAGAAGGCAGAAGTCAAACCATCAGATGCAACGTAAGTAGGAACGTTTCTAGTAAGCAGTAGAATTCATTCAAAAAATGACTTTTTTTTATGTATATACCCATCACGTTTGTTATCGCTATAATTTGTTTACATGTTTAGCTAAACGTGTTGACGGTGAAAGAATGGTTTTGGGAATTATTTTCCTCTTTATTTTTTTCTAATTTATATATATATACGTTGAACAACACAAAAACATACACCAAAAGCGTTAGAATGATGACGATAACTCTTAACTAAACAGGAAAAACTCATCTTAAAGTCCCCATTTTTCCGTTTTGATTTTTGTATTGCCGTTTAATATATATCAATGTTTCCTTCTCGGTGGAACAGCGGTAAGTTTACGGACTTACAAGGCTAAAATCCTGGGTTCGATTCTCTGCGTTGGACACAGGAGACAGCCCAGTGAGGATTTGCTGTAATATAACCACCCAATATTAACAAATAATAATTTAAATTAGGGAGATCAAAGTTTTTTACTGGACATAAAGTTGTCACAAAAAACTGAGTAAAAAAAATTGGTTATACGCAACATAATGCCGTATTATGATTATATACTGCTATGAAATATCATCCCTATGCATCAAACGTTTATCACTGTAATATACAATTACCTAGAATAGACAACACATGCGGTGTAGAATATATGAGCTTAAATCTATTTGTAACACAAAGTATATTTGTGTATGAAGAAATGATATGTGTTACAATGGTTATATTTAATGATTCGGTATAGTTATTTCCGTTGTTGATCCTTCAATGACTGTTTTCTCTTTTTCTAAACCCGATTTGTAGAGTTATAAGTGTTCGGACTTATCGCTGAGCCGTTGGGAGGCTATGAGAATTCTTCTAATCGTCTATATTGTTTGACGGTACGCTGTGCTGGCAATTAATTTTGTCAAGGTAATCTTATTTATACTTGCTTTCTTTTCCTTACCAAAACGTGAATTTTAGTGAAGAAATGATGACGTGGAGACCTAATGTGTCCAAGGTAGTTTCATGTTTCAGCTTATCATGTCGGCTTTTACCGATATTGTTGTGTGTCATGTTTCATTGTTTCAGTCAGACGGGGGCGAATTATGTGATTTAAGTACGGTTTTGTTTCAATTCAAATCTAAAAATGTTTTACAATTACGCTTAAATGGGCACTTTTTTCTATTACGTGTAGTATTTTTTAGTGTTAATGTGCATATTCACCTATTGAAGCTTCGGTCCGCATAAATTATCAGTATTGATCTGTATAATTTTCTTTGTGTGTGTGTGAGAGTACTAGTACTCTACCGGCAAGAAATGAAAGTTACTTTTACCACTGTTGATAGGCCTAAGTTCAAAGTAGACGCTAAATACTCACATACTTGCTAATTTTCTCTCGTAACTACGTCCCTTTTTCTGATAACTAGTACTTTGTTGAAACGCAAACTCAATATTAAAAAAACCTGAAGTAACTGGCCATCTTGCTGACAGTAGCGCACAGAATCTAGCCTAACTTTATACGTTTTATACTGCTCAAATCGTTTACTAAAGTTTCAAGAAGGTTCTGGTCATTAAGCGACACATTTCACTTGGCATCAAGCCTTCCCCTTGCCAAACAACAATACAACTTGAATTATTGTGAAGTCCTTTGAATAATTCTATTACACAAAGTAAACAATAACTCATTAAGTTTAAACTTCCATAATTATCAATAAAGCATATCTAGACAGTTGGCAATACTTTGATATTGAAAAATATCGACATTAAAGCAATTAAATCAGTAAATAAATGTGCGACAAAAAGTACACTTCAACATATACTTTACAAAATAACATTTTTTTTTGCTCATTTACTGTCCCTAAACTCCCCAGTCACCAAATATTTTAGGTGATTTTTCTGTGCTTATGATACGAATGGAATGGAGGAGGACCTTATTGCCTTTTATCAAAAATTGGTGTCTTGTCACTGATGGAAGAGTTTTCATCATGTAAATGGTCCTGGGAATCCACTAGTAATTTCATCCCTGATGTTACAAAGAGAGCGATCTCGAGAAGAACCTCGGTATCTTCACCAGTCTGATCTAGCTCTGGTTAAGTCTTGCTTAAAGGTAACCTTTTAGCTGTTTCTTCTACTGATGTGCTTTCAAAGGTGTTTACGATCGATGGCCTTTGGCTTAGACCATCTTTCTTCTGGATTTGATCTGTTGCCCTTTATGTTGGTTGTCACTAGAGCTTCAATCTCTGTTGCTGTAATTATTGTGTACGGTACAAGGATGGCCTGGACATAGATTATGGATCTCTTTACGGTGATTCTGTTCAATCTCTGTTGCTGTAATTATTGTGTACGGTACAAGGATGGCCTGGACATAGATTATGGATCTCTTTACGGTGATTCTGCATAAAGTCATTTCCGAAGATGAACTATTCGTCAATGACAATTAATCAACACATCATGTTGTGTAGATAAGCTTCCCACAGTGATGATACATTGAAGGTGACTTTCAGCTTTCCTCTTGTCATAACTTCATGACCGCTTGCTTTTTACATCATTACACTTTCTTGTTTCATTTCTGCAGGCATTTTCTGAGTTACCATATCATGTCCAACAAATGTAGGTGTAGAATCAGTGTTAATCAAAATATTACAAGGCTTCCCATTAATGAATCCATTGACTTTTGGACTGAGTTTTTTTAAAATAATAAAATCCTTATCTCAATAGAAGCAGATGAAATATTCTTATATATATATCAATGGTTTATTCAGTACAATCTCGAACATAATGCCTATTCATTTATAGCAGTTCTATTTTTCTGTCATCCTCTGGGAGAAGTTTGTACTTCCTAAAGGATTCTGTCTTCTGTTCCTGACAATATGTCATATTAAGCTGTAATTGAAACATTTGCTGTCCTGTTGTTTACTTCTTCCATTCTGAGTGACCAGTTGCTTACTTAATTGTTTGAGCTCGCCTGAACCGTCATGAGGTAGAGAGAGTGTTGAGGTTTTTGCATTATTTGATTTGATAATTCCTAGATAGTGTCTTTATTTGCTTATCTACAACTTTAATTCATTCTCGTTCAATTACCAACTGAACAGATTCCTTTAAATACGTACATCTACTTACTCTAGTCTAATTTGCATATTCTCATCCATTCAGACATCTATGAATTGGTCACTTGCCAACAAATCCACCATTTAACGGGGGGGGGGAGCGTTTCGGTGAGATAATTGGGTAAATGTTTTTACATCTTCAGAAAGTTTGGCTCAGAATTCGTCTTTACTCCTTATTCTACTCCTAAATCTGTTTTATAAAACTCCTTTCTGATATGAAACTCCAAATCCGTTTGACAATACAGCTATTAATACCTGGTAGCTGTTACGGTTCTCTTTTGGAAATTAATGTTGTTAAAGTTTGACATTTTCTATGGCTTTTAAAACTTCAGTATGTTCATTTGTTATCTTGTCTTCTATCAAAATGATCTATATTCCCAATTCTTCTGTAAGTATTATGTCTCGTTCTTGTAATTCTCTTAAATTTCTGTCTGTTTATTTTTGTTCTTCTTTTAATTTTCTTTCTCTTTCCTCTTGATCTTCTGTTCACTTTCTGCCTCTTCCTTGCTTTAATTTTCTTTATCGTTCTTCTCGATCTTCTTTCCATTGTTTCATCATTTCTAGCAAATTTTCGACTTCACTTCGAACACTTGTCGTCATCTTTAAGTTGATTCTGGATTTTTATGTTATTTTTGCTAAAATAATCCCACTTCTAACAACACTACTGTTGTAACGGTTTCTATTGTTGCGTAATATCTTTTGGATTATTCGGTAAAAACAATAATCCAAAGCCCAGTCTACTTAATGATAACGAAAAAGTATGATTTCTTCTATTACAACATTGGTTAGCTTAACTAACGCTCACTGACAGGCCTGAATTAACAGTAGGTGTTAAACAGTTACTTACTTTCTCTCATACCTACACACTTTCTCATATCTCTGGTTTTTCGTAGAAACACAAACTTAGTATTCACAAAACCGACATAAGTGACTTACTAGATTTTCAGTAGCATGCAAACTGACTAACAAACTCGCAAACGTAGTCAGTCATCATGTGTTCTAACTTAAGCCACAGCCATCACGTGGCGTCGAACTCCATCTGGTCCAAACAATAATACAAATGTCTAAGTTAAAACAAAAACCGTACATGGGAATCAGTAAGAAAACTTATATAAAAAGCTTTCTCGTTAAGACCTTGGTAGTCAACAGTTTAAGACGCTGTCTTGAATGCTCAAAGATCATCCACAGACGTATTAACACCATATTAGTCAACAGTTTGAGAAAGATTGGCTTGAATGTTATCGTACATCATCCAGATAATTGAAAGTCTACTCTTAGTTTATTAAAAACTCACTAGTGTTTCTATTTATCTATAAGAATAATATATTCTCAGAAAATTAAATTTGTAAAATCATCATTATTATATTTATCCTCCTTTAAATAGTTTTGCGAAAACAAAGAGGTAAAACTAGGTAGTGAACAACCAAAATATTACAGACAAACAAACAAGGGCCAATAACTTTCAAGACTCGACTTCCCGACAGCACATTCGTATTCGGTCCTTCTTTGTTTCCTGACCAAGTCTTCAGTAACCACGACTATTATCGTCAGGTCCAAAAACAGCTATAATCGACAGAAAGGACAAAATCTGAGTTTTAGATTTTCACCTTCATGGACTTGAAAGTGGTCGAGATGGAGAAAGGTGAATAATTTATCACTAAACTGAAAGAATAATCCTCCAACTTCTTCAAACGTCGGTGCAGAGAAGCTCTTCTGAATATCTCCTTTTTTACAAAGATCGTTACAGCTATAGACCAGAACTTTACGTATGTCTCTTGACAGCATTTCACAGTTTTATTATCAGTAGTTACAAAGTTAAAGCTACAATGAATATCTTATTTTATAAAGACTGTTACAGCTACAGACAAGAACTTTACGTGGTTCTATTGATATTATTTTACACTTTTCTCAACA